TACATGCTGAATGTGTGTCTCATCGTGTGCCATTACTATAAGAGATTAGAGTATACTAAACTTTACACATTATATAGGCTACACCAACATGACGTTTACTCGGTTCGTTTAACTATTATAAGTGATGTAGGTTTTTTAGGGGGTGGTTAATGAGAGTGTTCCAAAACACAACATTAATTTATTGATGGCGTAATACAATAAGTTGTAATTAGTAATTTAGGGCTGCATACTCATATACACAAAAATTTTTATTATTTTAAGGTTAATTTCTTTGCATGAAATTATAGTATTGATTTACAATATATGTATGCATGTGTGTTATATATATATACACACACAGATAATGTTATTGAAATTCAGTAGTAACTTTATAAATTTTCTTTAGGTGAAAGGGACATCTGATGCTTTAGGCTTAAAACTGAGCTTATACCAGTATCAAACCTGTCCTTTTTGTTGTAAAGTTCGAGCATTTTTGGAGTACTATAGCATTCCGTATGATGTTATAGAAGTAAACCCTGTCCTTCGACAACAAATTAAGTTCTCAAAGTACAAGAAAGTTCCCATTTTGCTCATTGAGGATGAGAAAGGATGTCAGGTAAATTTATTAGAAACTCGTTTAAATGTTTAGCTGCAAGTAAGTTTATATGATATTTTTGTTGTTGTTCTATGCTGTCATGTAGTAAAAACAGTGATAGTACCTTTTTTAATTTCAGTAAGTTTTTTGAATTCATGTATTTTTCTTAGATGTACAAAGTTGAAATTTATTTCTTTGTAAAAGTTCATATACTTTGTTCCTTTTTTTTTAATTAGGGAGGATTCACACATACAGTGTATGTGTATTTAGTAAGGTATGCCCAAATAAATTGTATGATATTTTTTCATATGATTTTCATATACTTCATGTAAATTAGGTGACATAGGTAATATTGAAAGCAACTAATTGTATATTTATGAGAAAAATACTTTCATTTTTTTATTACATGAACATAGTTCTTGACAGTAGAAATATTAATTCTCAAATATCAATCATTAAAATTGTGTAACCATGGGTGCCTGCAAGGGGGTACTTGCCTCTCTGTTTTATTAGCTCAATATGTATTAGTTTTTGACAATATTTAATCTCAAGGAAAGCAAATGTATCTTTTTATTACTGTATATGAGACAACTGCAGATAAACATCCATAACTATTAGCATATAGAATATAATATCACTGTATACATTTATCTATTTTGTGTATTCTACTCTCGCACCTTTGTATAGTACTTGCAGCAGTCTTGCTATTGTAAAAGCAGGTGACTCCTACTTATATCAATTAATAATCTTTTCCTTTTAATAATTAATTGAAGTTGAAATGCTGATTTAATAGTAACATGTACTTGCAACTTAGTATAAGAATAAGTTAAAGAATTATTCACCCTACTTTTCAGCAACTTAATGATTCCACAGTGATTATCAGCTTGCTGAGTACACACTTAATGGATTCTAAGGTAGGATTAGATGAAATAGCAAACATGTATGCTCCACTAAAGTACATTGATGAGGAATCTGGGAAGGAAGTTTCAGAAGTTATGAACAGATATTTCCTCATGTTTGGTGACAAGACTCCTCTGTCCAGATCAGAAGAGGATATAAAGTAAGGCCAATTTGAGAGTTTCTTAGCTTTTCAGTTCCTTTTCAGGTCATTTTGAACCATAACTTCATGCATAAAACTGTGGATTACAATTACATATTTTCTTATGTTTGGTGAAATTATTAAGTAAAAATACGTTCCATGGTATTTTTTTGGAATACCATAATTAGAAGTTTTATTACTCTAAATAATGACAATCTGAAAGGCCCCACAGTGACTCAGCAGTAAGTCCAAAGGCTTATAGCACTGAAAACCAGGTTTTGATATTCATGTTGAGCACAGCACAGACATCCCATTGTGTAGCTTTGCACTTAACAACAAACAATCTAAAGCCTGAGTATTATCGTTGCGGTAATATATATTTTTTAATTTGATTTTTCATCTTTTGATATTTTCCTGTGAGCATTTATAGATATTAGTGAAATAATGTTTGTGTGTGTGTATATATATATATATATATATCTTTCACTGGAAATAATATTTTACTATTTTTTGCTCATGGATCTAAAATTTGTGTCCTACTTCATACAGGGTGGTTTTAAATAAAAAAAAAAATAATTTTTCTGATTTAACAGTTATATGAAAATTGAGCTTTTTTGAATCAAAATCATCATAATGGACAAAAGTGTAAAAATGAGTCAGTTGATTCTAAAGTTCAAATAGCAAATGCAGTTGTTTTTCACTTCACAGACATATATGTGCACATATTTCTCTTACTTTGTTCACTATTTTCAACAATCAAATATTACAGTAGTTTTTAAACATACGAAAAGTGCACTAATACCATGTGGTTTTTTTTTAAAGCCTAGTTAGTATAAAGTTTAATTTATGTCAGACTGAGTGTTTTGCCATGAGAAAGATATTGTTGCGTCAACGAGTCACATGACTACCGTGACGCCACGTTTCTAGAACTATCCTGTACTTTAGCGAATGCTCTAGTATTTACTAGATATAGGGTAGTCGGGTATATATAAGAGGGGGACAACGTGACACGGAAATGTAATGTGTGTGTAGATAGTGAGTAATTGAACTGCAGTCAGAAGTATTGTAGACGTTCGTTGTTACAGCGTGTGTTTAGCGCGATAGTTGAAGTTGAGTGTATTGGTAAAGTTATATTCAGAAAGAATAAACCAGTGTTATTAAGTAAAGACTTGTGTCGTTAAAGTTTCGTCGGAACGAATTTACAGAGAGTTAATTAACAAACGGAGACGTAACAATATGTTTTTACATCTCTGATCGTATTAATAGATGCTTAGATCTAAATTGTAGAATATAATATGCAACTTAGGCAATAAGAAGAATATGATTTTTATATAATGAATTAAACTTTAAAATAATTTTTATAAAATATTGTTGTTGTATTTCTGCTAAAATTATTGTCGGTAGTAAAATATATTTTTTCACACACACACACACACACACACATATATACACACTGTATTCTGTTGTTTAGGGTGAAAGTTGTATAATTACGATCTAAGGACTTTCTTTTATTCTTGTTATTATTTTCATTATGATAGGCTTCTATTAGCTGCTGTCGATAAAAGTTGGCTTAAAAATATCTTTCAGAGAAGAAAGAAAGTGGCGAAGATGGGCAGATGATGTTCTTGTTCATATGCTTTCACCAAATATTTATCAAACACCTAGAGAAGCCTTACAAGCTTTTCATTATTTTTCTAAAGTTGGAGACTGGGAGGCTAATTTCCCAATCTGGGAACGATACTTGGTAATCTATGTTGGTGCAGCAGCCATGTATTTGGTGGGGAAAAGGTTGAAAAAAAAGTAAGACCACTGTTTTCTATAGAAATGTTTGTCTCTTGTAAAGTAGATCAGTAACATATTCTTCATATTATCTATTAACCTGGAGAAATGTCAAGTTTAGGATTTATTTAACCCTGTTATGGTAGCATGTTAATACTGAGTATCTCATAACCTGAACTTCTTTCTTGTACTATTTTAGATATTTTCCAGACCCAGTTGAGACTCTGCAGAATTTTGAGTAGAATAGTATTTATCTTATGTTTATAAGTCTAAAGATATATATATATATTTCCTGCCATTACATATTGCTAAACATTTTTCCAAACGTTTTTGAAATTATTATTATTATTATAAAATATATATATATACCCATCTTTTTTTTTTCTTTTAATTAGTTATGGCTGTGGGGAGACAATGAGATGTTTTTGTTTTTTTGTTAGCTGAGATTTTCTGTACATATATTTTGTGAGCTTCACACCACTAATTGTATTTTTGATTTAATTTTTCCTAGCAATTCAAAGAAAAAACAATAACAGTTATAACACTGACATCTTGGGTAAATTTAATAAATATTTATCTGGTTTTTACTTGTGTTGTCAGCATCATAAAAAGCAACTGAGTTTGAAAGGTTATTTAGTCCATTAACATCTTAATTTTACTTCATCAACTTCAAACCATACCTACTAATTTATATTTTGTTAATTGATTTATAGTGATTCATCAAATAATTCCAAATACTGTTTTTGTAAAAGGATTTAATTCTTCCTAAAACCAGACTCTTTGTTTTGTTTTAAGTTTATAATCTTATAGCCATGCTTTTCATATCTTTACAGATACAGCCTGAAAGAAAATGTGAGAGAGTCCTTGTATGATGCCTGCAGAGAATGGAATATAGCTATCGGCAAAGACAGAATTTTCCTTGGAGGAAATATGCCAAATTTAGCTGATCTGGTTTGTTTCTTTTTAAGCAAAACTTTTTCATTTATCAAATTTTCATTAGGCATTCCATTGAAATCAGTCAGTTGTATACAAGCTTATCACATTTATTTGCATTAAATAAGTCAGAATAAAAAGGTTCTGCCCAATTTCTGGGTGTATTGTGACAATGGAACTAATAGTTTGATACATTGGTATTTCTTAATTTCTATACAAAAAAAAGTTAGACTTATCAATTTTTATGAAATTTTGTAGGCAGTATATGGTGTATTGAACTCCATTGAAGGGTGTGAAGCTTTCCAAGACTTATTGAAGAATACGAAAATTGGACCATGGTACTTTCGGACTAAAGAGGCTGTTAGTAATCATTATGGGAGCAAAGCAACGCAAGCTAGAATTAGTTAAAACTGCAAACCTACTAATTTTAATTCCAGTTATTCTCTTTATGTTTTGTACATAAATGTATAGAGTATCTGGAGTTTAAAGTTAAAGGATTTTATAAGTCCTATTTTTAATTTAGTCAAAGTCTTCTTGTGATAATTTATCAGTTGAATTTTATAAGATAGAAAAGATCAAGAAGTATAAGTACCAGAATAAGAGTAATAAAGACAGCATTGACTTAATTATTTATATTATGTACATAGAACAGATTCGTAATGTAACTTGAATTGGGTCAGACGTGTTTATTTCTTGATAAATTTGTAAGTGGTACAGATTTACTAAGTGGTTTTGTTTTCAGACTGAAAAAATGTTAACTAATGTTATTCTATTCTTATGGAACTATGCTGTTCAAAATGAATTTAGTGTTTTTCAAATGCTTCACCGTAGCTTTCTTGGATTCAAACATTTAGAATATTGACATTAATGATATATATTTAAGATTTTCTCTAATTATTTTAATTTTTTAGAAGTGGAAATTGGTTTAAATAGAACACTAACATTTTCACCCTGTAATTATTACAAATAAAATGTTTTACTTCAGAATCCTCATAGATGTGAAAGTAAGTCCAAAAGTACAATTAAAGAGGAAAATGAAGATATGATTTTATTGGAAAAAAAAATAGTTCTAATTTGACAAACTAACTTTTCAACTCTGTCAGCTATTCATTGTGACACATTTGATGATGGTGAACTTTGTTTTGGCATATCTCAATCTTGTTTGTTTATTTTAAATATAATGCAAATGTATAATTATAGATGTCGTATTGATTTGCAATTTTTCTCTTATAATTTTAGTAAACTTTTTGTATTTTAGTAAGAAACTCAGTGTTTGAGGTAAAAATTGATAATATTAATTAATAATATAGATTCTGGAATTTGAATGCAGTTTACAATTATATTATGGAATGAAAAGTTGTAAAATTTTTCAGAGTTACAAATAAAAGTTTGTGAATCTTTACAATGGCTGTTTTGTTTTCTAATGTCACCAAAAATGCTTAATTTTTTTTTATATAGTTATAAAATAATGGGATTAAGGTTTGTTATTATGATTTATTGGGAACTCTTTATTCTAAATAATGACATCAAATATATCTAACTTGGGTTTTTGTGGGTATAAATTTTATTTTAAGTTTATAAAGTGTAGTTTCACTTATTTTCTGTTTCTACTCTTGTCTAGTGGTTAGAGAGTTCAACTCTTAATCTGCTGGGGTGCAGATACGAATCTCATTACCAAACACTCATGACTTTTTAGCTATGGTGGCATTATAATGTGATGGTCAATCCCATTATATAATTAGTGTAGCTCAAGAGTTGGCATTCACAGGTAAACCTAATGTTAACATGTATAGAGCTCAAATATTCCACTTACTGATCTTCATTTTTTTAGTATTATAAGTATGTCACAAACAGTACCCTGTTCTGTCCTTTCTTGACACATGTTTCACAAACGTGGACATTTTTATGTTGGTTGTTATCATAAATCCACCTACACCTGACTCTACACCCATTTTGAACCTTTTGTTCTACTTCATTTTTTATAAAATCTTGTGAAGTGTCTTATGTCCTGTATACACTGAATCAACATTTCCTGTGAACTTTTAAAACGAGGGTTATTCAGACTAAAATCCGTTTTAAAACTCAACTTCTTTCCGATAAAATTTATAGATTCTACCATCAATAAAACATTTTCAACAATTACATCTATTCAGTTCACTGAACACTGACATCCAGAAGCTATAACTAGTGATCTCTCTACCATATACAGGCTCACACTCTCGAATCTTGAAGAAGAAATTAAACACCGTAATCAACAGAGTCTATCCATAAGTTCACCTTCAGTATGAGTTTAGACCTGTGCTGAGAATTTACAATTTTTTCAGGTTTAAAAATCGTAACCACTTTTCTCAACAGTTGCTTGTTACTTATGAATTATTCCGCCCAACATATAGAAGGGCTTACGTCGGAACGACAGTCAGAAGACTGGGGGATCGCTTAGAAGAACACAGTAATTCTAGGTCCAAGAACAGCTCAAGCATTTTTCAGCATACAGTATGTAAATGTGACGTGGTCCGATCTTCCTATATGTTAAAAGTAATCAATAAAGCCTAAAACGAGACTATGCTATCGGTGGAGGAGGCTCTTCCAATTCATCAAAAGAAGCTGAAATTAAACAATCAACAAAGCACTACTGAACTTGTACTTGCAATTTAAGTAATTAAATGTGTAAATGCATATGTAAAACATGTTAGAGGGGAGGATTTTGTGGTTACTGCTAGAGCGAAAATTGTCTATGCTTCTCTAGTTCCGATAGAGCAAGCATTTTTACTAATGATGTATTCCTCCCTCGCGCTTGTTCCGATGATAGAGCAAGCATTTTTATTAATAATGTATCCCTCCCTCGCGCTTGTTCCGATAAAGCAAGCATTTTTACTAATGATGTATCTCTCCCTCGCTCACGATGCTGCATTTCCAGCCTTTAGAATAGGTACCATTAAAAAAACAACAACAAACGATAATTCAACAATCCACCATGCTCGTATTGTCCTAAAGACTATGATAGTGACTCTTGTAATCTTGTTTGACCGGCAAGATCTCTGGATCTTAATCCAATTGAGAACCTTTAGGAAGAACTTGGTTGTCGCATTTGCCACCATGATCCACTGTAAATCCCCTTTAAACAAGTATTCCTCGGCAAGTGGGTAAAAATTGCCAAGACGCTTTCTGGCATCCCGTGAAGCTTTTCCTACAATTCGTCTAAACTAATATCCTTGCAAAAGGTTATCTTACCCTTTGAGGAGGGAATTCTAATAAATGATCAATCAGTGTAAAAGTATAAAATCATAATATTAAAAATCCGTTGTATTATGGAGAACACGCAACAAACACACGAAAAAAAAGTCTTATACATGAACATGGTTTAACAGTGATTTAGTGTAAATAAGGTTCTGAACAGTTTTCTTGTTATTCTCGCTGTTGATGCATCTTATTAATTAAAAGAAAATTTTTGCGGTAAAATTAATGTATAAACCTGTGCACGTGAAATGAATTAAAATATTCTCATATAAAACAGTACCAAGAAAGCGAAAGCTGTATTGTTGAAACATTATTCATATACGTATAGTAGACGAGAACTAGTAAACAAACAAAAGCTTTTATTTCAGGGTTAGTTGAGGAAGTGTATTTGACTATACATTATAGATTTTATTTCCACTTAGGGTTAAAACAACGCTTCATAGTCTAACCTAAGTCCTTCATCCCCCCCCCCCTACGTGGCACAGCGGTATGTCTGCGGATTTACAACGCTAGAATCCGGGTTTCGATACCCGTGGTGGGCAGAGCACAGATAACCCATTGTGTAGCTTTGTGCTTAATTACAAACAAACAAGTTCTTCATCAGGTCGATGGTTTGTGTTGAATTTCGCTCAAAGCTACACGAGGGCTATCTGCGCTAGGCATCCCTAATTTAGGTGTGAAAGACTAGAGGGAAAGCAGCT